CCTGAACCATAAATTTTTCCCTTTCTTATATACCTAGATCCACGGCATAATTCTCATAAATTGCTAAAGGGCCAAGGGAAGCTAAGAAGATTGTTGGGTTTTGATATCCAATAAATCCGGACGATGATGTTAAATCGGTTTTAGTTGGATTATATTTCATAGGCCTCGACTGATGAATGAAGTGAAATGTCGACACCACAATCGAACCAATCGAATCACGTAAACTACTTGGGTCATTTGAAGCAGCCTAATTATATTAGTGCTGCTCATGGCGCAACCCGAATGATTTAGATGGTTTTAAGGTATTAATTAGCCCACTTATCTCGTTTCTATTGGGCCTATTATTTTGACCTAAAGGCTAAAAGCCTAACCTATTCCTAATCTAATTAGTTTGGTTGTCCACTACTATTACCGTGTGAAAAATTGAAGCAGCCCCCTTTGAGAAGTTGAGAGAACCAGTTTCTTGTCTCATGCTTTGTGCACTTTGGCTATGTGTCATTCCCTTAAGAAAATCGTCCCTTTCTTCTTCACTGGTGAGCCTTTGTGGCTATTTTCTTGGCTGAAATTTCTCATCCTTAGTCCTTTGTGGGCTGTACAAATTGGAGCAGTCATTTGTGTTGGGAAGTGTTTGTTTGTGGTTTCATTGGTTGTTTGTGGTTGTCGATTGGTTTGGAGACTGAGCCCGGTGATTGGTTGATTGAAGCCTCAAATCACAACAAAGATATTCCCAGCTTCCATGGTTTTGAACATCCTTTAGAAAATAGTCAGAAGATGAGTAGATTACCAATAAGCACTAAAATTAAGTCTCAAGCGAGAAGAAATGAATACAGAGGAACATAAAAGTATGCATTCTTCAAGTAAATTAGTTAAGGGTGCTTCCAAAGACATTGATGAAGTTGGACCGCATACAACAGCTTATATGAAATGGAAACCCGCATCAAGCAGAATACTAGACTTTGGGGGAAAAAGAAGGTTGACAAAATGTGCAAGGAAGAAATACTTTTACTGATCAGCAGTAAACAAATGTCTGTACACAGGAGATGTCTTCATTGCTCATAATTCCATTGACAGTTGCTGACGCATTCCTATAAAACCAAAAAATAAAGAAATTATTGAACAATTGAAGAGGAAAACGAGCTCAATTGTAGTCAATCAAAAAGTGAAAGTACATTACACTGCATTGTGATATAAATAAGAAAATGAGAACAACAAATTAACTCACTCTAACTGTACAAACCAATGCAAGATGGACACGTGGACTTAACCAGCTAATCTAACTAACAACTGGCTCCAGTTGGTGTGCAATGGCAATGCTTCAGTCACTGATCATCTAATAGTGAGCTAATCATCCGATAGCGAAGCAACTGCCTTGATATAATCTATTACTCCCCCTCAAGATGGAATGTGAGGATTGATAACAGCCATCTTGGATGATAAAGGAAACAATAGGGAGGCTGGTAAAGCTTTTGAAAAAATGTCAACTAATTGATGATGAGTACAAACAGGTAATAACTTGATAGAACCATCAATCGCCTTATCATGGACAAAATGATAATCGATTCTATGTGCTTAGTACATTTGTGAAAGAGAGGATGTGAAGCAATGTGAATCACCGCTTGATTGTCACAAAATATTAAGGCAGGATCATTAGTTAAAACCTGAAAATCATGAAGCAATTGAGTAAGCCAAACTAGTTCACTGGCAGTAGAAGCTAACGCACGGTATTCAGCTTCAACTGAAGATCTGTATAGAGTAGTTTACTTCTTAGCTTTCTAAGAAACTAAAGAGTCTCCAAGGGGAAAAAAAAACCCTTGACTGATTTCCTTGAATTAAGACAAGATCCCCATACCGCATCCGTTAAGACTCTCAACTAGAATGATGTACCGAAAATAGAATTCCTTGACCTGTGTTAGCCTTTATATATTGCAAGCGATGATGAACTGTATCTAAATAAGGCTGTCTGGGTAGTGACACAAATTGACTTAGCTTGTGAACGACAAATATGATGTCAGGTCTAGAGATTGTTAAATAAATGAGGCGACCAACTAGCCTTCTACACATGGATGCACCAAGAATAGGTTCTCCTTCAAAGGAGCTAAGCCTCAATTTAGGATCCATAGGTAATACAGCTGGTTTGCATGCTAGGAAGCCAGTATCCTCAAGTAACTATAGAGTATATTGACGTTGGGACATGAAGATGCCCTTCTCTGACCTTGCTATTTCTAGCCCAAGAAAGTAATTAAACCCGCCTAGATCCTTAAGCTTAAACTGACTATGCAGGAAGGCTTTCAATGAGCCAATTTCCTATTGATCAAGTCCAATGATGATAATGTCGTCTATAGACCAAAAGAGCAACAAAAGTGCCGCTAGTACCTTTGGTAAACAAGGAATAATCAGATTTTAATTGCTTAAAACCATGATCAATAAAAGCATTGGAGAACTTAGAAAACTACTGCGTTGATGCTTGCTTAAGGCCATAAATTGATTTATGGAGTCTACGGTTCAAATTCTCCCCCTGAATTCTAGAACCAGCATGATTTTGGTATCCCAAGGGTAAGTCCGTATATATTTCTTCAAAGAGGTCTCCATTGAGGAAAGCACTGTTGACATCTAGTTGTGTGATGTTCCAATTATTAATGGTTGCTATTGCTAGAAGAACTTCGATGGTAAGATTCATCAACTCATGCCTTAATTGGAATATGTGAGGTCCATTCCTCTGCTGAAATCGCTCCTTCAAATCAATTCATATATCATGTGCAGATTCGGAATAAATGACACTTGCAGAAATTTTCTTAGAGACTAAGTTGAGTAACCATGAAATGACCATGTTGTTGATGCGGATCCAATTGTAAAGTAGATCATTATTGTCTTCAGGTCTGGATAATGATCCATCAATGAAACTGAGCTTGTTCTTCACGGATAGAGCGATCACCATAGCTCGATTCCATGAAGCATAATTGTCACCAATTAAATGTTGTGACACAAACACAAGCCCAGGGTTATTCGAATGATGAATGTAGGAGGGACTAGATCCATCATCAATGGCGAAATTGCTCACTAATGAAGGAAATTTATTCTGATTTGGTGCATCCATTGCTGATGCCATAGAAGAGATTTGATCGGAGAGATCAAAGATTCAAAGTATTCAATTGAAATGGAAAAAGGCACACAAAAGAAGCACAAAGTGCTGTGATACCATATTAAACAATTGAAGAGGAAAACAAGCTTAATTGTATCCAATCAAAAAGTGAAAGTACGTTACACTACATTGTGATATAAATAGGAAAATGAGAACAACAAACTAACTATAACTATACAAGTCAATACAAGATGGACACGTGGACTTAACCAACTAATCTAACTAACAGCTGGCTCCAGTTGGTGTGCAATGGCGATGTTGCAGTAGCTAATCATCCAGTAGTGATGCAGCAGCCTTGATATAATCTGTTAGAAATATTAAACATGGTCAAGCTGTTTACAAGGGCAAAGTATAAAGCATAAAGATTATCATAATTGGATAGTCTTTCGCATTTAGTGTAAATGGCAGTTTTTTCTTTATGAGAATGATATTCATAATCCATGGTTTCCAGATAGATAGTTCTAGACGTGCAAAATCTGGATTGCAAATCATGGTAATTTCTATGATGGAAGACTCAAAACATAGTAGTTTCAAATGCTGAGTATTTTATGAGAACAATGGTATCTATCTAGCTAATGATCAGCAGTCTGGAACGTGATTAATTTGCAGAGTATTCCAATGGATATGTTTGAACGAGTAAGTAGCTGTGGTAAGTAGCATAGTCAGAACTAATTAACTTATTCCATGGACAAAATTCTAAACGTCATCTATATGATCAGAGAAAAGATCGAAGGATTTTATAGTGGGATAACTAATAATCGTATGAGAAATGCAGTCAATTGTTCTTGGTTTTGATATTCTCAGTATGATACTGAACAATGGTGGCTGATTAAATCTCTTATAGATTGGAAAATTTAATCAATTCTAAAAACCAATCATACTTTGTTTTTTTTCCTTCAATTTTACACCTAATCAACCACTTTGGTCAAAGCATGAGGAACCAGCTGCAATTTTAGTTCAAATCTTCGAGAATGGAATGGTTGCAAATGCAAACAGTTCCTTGTTAAATATCAAAATAGCAAATCTGTTTCCAAGAGACTAATTGACGCAGGCTGCACAAAGAAAATTATAGGAGAAGGGGAAAGGGGAGAGTAGAGAGAAATTGGGGAAGAAAGATTTCAATTTTTATTTATTCAGGGTTACCAATTACATAGTATAAGATTCCATTATATAGGGTTTCAAAAGGTAATAAATCAAGCTACAATGACATTTCCTAAAATACACATTTAAATCTAACAATATCCCTTCTAATTCTCCGTCACTAATTCTCTAGTAAAAATCACATACTGATATTGGCACCAGAATTGCTCCAGAAGATTAAATGTTTTCCTTTTGATGCCACCAAAAACTTTAAAGGGCATAACGGAGCATGGATCATATATTCTGTTGAAAGCCGTTATTGCAAAGGTAGTATGTCTTTTTTCAACCTACTCAAGCCCAAGCAAACAGATCCCAAATCTTAAATATATAGACATGTACTTTCCCTTTCCTTTTCTCCCTGGCATTTTGAAGTCGAGGAGGAGACGGCCTCTGTTTCTAGTTGTGCTTGCAAACCTACATTTCACATAAAACGCTTGGCACATTTCATAACAATTTGGATTGATTATCAGACATAGTATGGAAGAACCAACACTCATGTCCATCATTGAGAGAAAGAACTCAACAAACAACAAATATTTCCATTGCATAAGTAATTCCTCATTTTCAAAAGGCAGCTTATCCAGCATATCATTTAATTTTCCTCCAACCTCGGCTTAGTGGTAATCAATCACAATTCCCGACAACAAATTAGCTTCATTACCACTTGTGGCTATCAACCTAGTAATCAGTCTTCTTGCCATACTAAAACGGTTATATCTTCTACTATAAGTTTCACTTAAAGCAACAAAATAAAGCTATTCTGCCTTGTGGATGAGCTAAGTTCTATAAGGTAGTCAAGCAGACAAGCAAACACGTCAATTTCCAATGGAAGTCGCAATTTTTTGAATTAGGATGCTGTATATTTCAATTTTTTGAATGTTCTTGGTAGTGCTATACAATTCATCATTTATTACAAACTAATCATTTATTGCAGTCAAGAGATAGTAATTTGGAAGAGAAGCATACCTAATACAAATAGAACCATCCTAATTGTTATTGTTTACCATGGTATTGTTCACCACGGTCTCGGTCTCTGATTTACACGCCGGCAACATTGGAGTCCCATTCTTGGGTAATTTATTGGGCAACTTTGCGAGCACCAGCCTCGGACTTTCCTCAGACTTCCCGAACAATTGCTTCCTCAAAACCTCATGTAAATGTCCAAACAATTCCTTCTTCAATGCCTCAAACGCTAAATCCAACCTCTCCAGCTGCTCCATGGCATTCTTATTGTACATAAACAACCCATAGTACAAATCAAAGCTATCGCTTGCCGTGTTTTCCACCAAATTCAACAGAGTCTCGTACCCTTTTGTGTTAATTTGGGTATTGTCCAATTGCAACTTCTCCAAAATCCTCCCCATCGTGTGCGTGATAAACTGAGACCCTGCAGCATATTTATCATGCTCTGCACAAGTCATTTCCACCATTCTACATCCTTCGTTCTTGAAAATATCCAAGAAAGTCTCAGCCCGTGTAAGTCTAGACTCCTCATTCCCAATCCTAACTTTGTCAAACACAAATGCTAAATTTTGCCAGCCATTTTTCCCACTTTCAGGCCCAAACATGGGGTGAGTACAGAGAATATCAAAATGGGAGGGAAGATATTGCAAGAAAATATTCTTGGGGAATTCTTTTACAGATAAAACATCGACAAATAGTGTATTTCGCCGAAGGCGTTGAATAGGGAGGGATTTGAGGACTGATTCAGTGGAAATGATGGAGGTACAGAGAAGGATAACATCTGGGTGTTCTTCACAGAGGTCGTGGGTGTCAAAGAAGAAGACGGCGCCAAGGGATTGCGCTATGGAGGAATAATCAGAACGTGAATGTGCGAAAACTGTGTGACCCTGTCGGATAAAGGCCTTAGCAAGGAACTGGCCGAAGTTGCCGAATCCAATAATGGCGATTTTCAGCTTGGCTGATTGAGCGAAGCGGTTGACGAGCAGGGATTCGTAGTCGAAAGGCTGAGCGGCATCGATGGCCCGGATACGGAGGCGGCGGGAGACTTTGGCAGTCTGAAAAAATGGTGGTGAGTTTAAGGGTAATTTGTGAGTATGGTAGTGGGGGAGGAGAAAAGTCCGGTTCGCTGTGCCAGCGGAGGAGGAGGCGGCGGTGGTGGTGGGATTTTGTGTGGGACTGTGTTGGATCGAAGAGAATGAAATCATATTTTACTAACAATGCCTTCTTGAATAATGAATATACGCAAAAGAGTAGAACGGTAAACTGTGTGTGAATTGTTGTCTATAGAGAGAGAGATGGGTGGTGAAAGAGTGGTGGTGGAGTGGGCTTTATATGGTGGAATATAAGGTGGCCGGTAGCGGAGGCTCGAGGATTTGGTTGTTGGAGGCAATGACAAGATACCCGGGCAGTGGCTGCCGATTGATATGCAAATCCAACGGTCCGTAAATTATATCATTCATTTACAAAAGCTCTGTCTTTTTAACCAAAAGAAACGTGTTAAAAAATGTAGGAATAAATAATTCATGTTAACATTTGAACAAAATAGATAATTTAATTGAAATACAAATCCTAAATCCTTAGTTCCTAAGCTCACCTACCCACGTTCCCTCCAACTTCACAAGAGTCTTCAACCTAATTTTCAATTAGGAATAATTGCAATACAGTATCAAATCTTTCATTTAGTAGGAAATTTTGTCCAAATCTTTCATTTGTGTCAACCGCTGTACCAAACCTTTCAAAAATTAGCGCATAGGTCCAAATGGATGATTTTTGTTAGTTTGATCGTTAGTTGATCAGATAATTAATTTTGACAATAACTTTGACTAATTTTAAAAGGTTAAAATGGTAACTTTNATAACTTTGACTAATTTTAAAAGGTTAAAATGGTAACTTTTTATAATAAAATACCTAAAATCAAATAATTAATGAAAATTAAAAATCAAAAACCAACTTCTTCTTCTCCATCCACCCCACACATACTCATCCCCACCCCACCCCATAACCATCACCGCCACTTCCGGCTCAACCGCACTCATTCAACGTCGACACCACTCACATCTCCTCCATTTCCACCTTCATTCCAATCACCCAACAATTTTTTCTTCCCCAAAATTTCAAACTCCAATATACTCATCAACTCACTCACAGAAGATAAACACCCACTAGAAAACTCTACTCCTAAATCCTCTCCTTGAGCATCCCAACTTACGACTTAATCGGACTCCAAATCTCCACCGTCATTCATCGGAGTGAAAATCAACTGCAACCAATCATACTAGATCCTTCAAAATAGCCGCCGAGAATCCTCCATTTTTACGGTATGGGTTTCTTTGGTGAGTTTAACGACAATTTGGGTACGTGAATTATTTTTTGGATTTTATTGATTGAATGCTTACATGAATCTTTTCATCTCTGTACCAATTTTTGAATTTTCTTTAAATATGCCAATGGAAATACTTGATCTTGAAATACAAACTTTATGATGAAAAATTTGGGGAATAAAAATTTGTTGAGTGGAAATGAAGGAGGTGGAGGAGATGACAGTAGCACAGGCTTTGCTGTTGAATCGTCCGATAGTGGTGGGGTGGGGTGGATGGAAAAGAAGAAGTTGGTTTTTGGTTTTTAATTTTAATTAATTATTTGATTTTAGTATTTTATTATAAAAATATGTACAGTTAAAATTTTAAGCTTTTAAAATTAGTTAAAATTATTGTCAATATCAATTATCTGGTCAACTAATTGTCAAACTAACTGTAATCATCCATTTGAACCCCATGTACTAATTTTTGAAAGGTTTAGTGTCGTGGGTGACACAAATGAAAGATTTAGACAAAATTTGTTACTAAATAAAAGATTTGATACCGCTACTGCAATTATCCCTTTCAATTATTATATATACCAAGATTCTCAATCATGTCACAATTAAAAAATGTGCATGCTTTCCACACGTTCATGTTTGACGGGATTAATATTTTTTTTTTTTTTTTTTTTTTTTGTAGATTTTTATAAAATTTGATAAAAATATATAATTGAAAAAGTTGTAAATTTCATAAAATATATGATAAAATTAATATTTGATTTAGATTTAGATTTAGATTAAAATCAATATCAAACAGGACCTATGTAATTTTTTACATGATATTCAAATATGAGAATTTAACTTCAAGCAAATTTAGAAATTATTCATAAAGGGAACTGTTTCTTTTTTTTTTCGAATTATTATTCTGATCGAAATGAAACTCTTCCATAATATACAGAGTTTAGTGATGAAAGAAATTAATTACGTGCTGAATGCAATTAATGCGTAATATGTTTTATGTAGATGTGGATGTATAGCTAGGGTGCTCGATCGACTTAGCAAAATACAATTTCAAATTATGTTATGTTCGAGTCCCATTTTTTACAAATTCGTTTTCAACAACACATTTTCCCAAAAAATAATTTGGGAAAAATCATTGAACTTATACTATGGTCATGGACTGCTCACCAAACTTCATTGTGTTTCACGGTACTCACTCAACTTTGTCATTTACCTCTCCATCCACCACTGTCAAAAAATCCGTTTGTTGGACGCTGACATGGCGGACGGAATTCCTAGGTAGCGTCTGACGGTCGTTAAAAAATTACAAATCAGCAAAAACATTGTTTCATCACTCATCCAACTTACTATAAGTCACAGTTTACTCATCGAACTTCAAAATGATTCTTAATGGTCACTCATCTTTGAGATATTGCACTCAATCAATTATTCGTCATATTTCGTTCACTTCGTTGCTAATGTTCGCATAGAAAATCCACATAATAAGTTACAAATATTTGAAAAATCACAACTCAATGAAATTATCAATTTACTAAAATCACCATATGTGAAACATGACTTCCACGGTCTCAGAAACTTTTTTAAAATTCAATAAAGCGTCCTCAATTATTTTTTAGAAATATCACTTTTATAATTCGAACGTTTATTGTGTGAAAAATAGGTTTCAATCTAAAGCCGAAAATCGGAAATTTAACTTAATTTGTGAAAATATTTTGTCTATATTTCATCGATTTTACTTCTAATTGTATTGATCATATGGTGATTTCCATGTGTTGATGGTTTGATTGAGTTATAATTTTTTTGATGATTTTAATTACCCGTGAAATTTTCGAACAATAAATTAGCAATGAAGTGAATAAAATATGACGAATAATGGATTTAGTGCAATTCTTAAATATGAGTGACCAATGAGAAGCATTTTGAAATTCGATGAGTAAACTGTGACATAGTGTAAGTTGGATGAGTGATGAAACAATGATGTTGCTGATTTGTAATTTTTTAACGGCCATCAGACACCACCTAGGCATTTCGTCCGCCACGTTAGCTCCCAACAAACGGATTTTTTAACAGTGGTGGATGGAGAGGTAAATGACAAAGTTGAGTGAGTACTGTGAAGCAGAATGAAGTTTGGTGAGCGGTCTGTGACGATAGTATAAGTTCAGTTATTTTTGAAACAATTCACTCATGAATAGCTAGGGTGCTCGATCGACTTAGCAAAATACAATTTCAAATTATGTCATGTTCGAGTCCCATTTTTTACAAATTCGTTTTCAACAACACATTTTCTCAAAAAATAATTTTACACATAAATCTAATTTTTTTTCCTATTTTTAGTCGTTACATTCTCCTAAAAATCACTATTACAAAACTGTTGTAAATGATAAGTTTATTAGTGAATGACAATTGTATCCCTGCAACCCTAGAAATTATTACCATTGTATCTATAATATTTCGCTATAAATATAGGGTTTTGGTTCTCATTATAATACACACAAATCTATTGATATTTATTCTCTCTTTTCTTTTTTATAACAAGTTGTCAGCACGAAAACTTAATTCTTTCACAGTTTAGTGAATGTGGTAATTTCTTTTCAAGCATAATCATCTCTTATGTGTACCAAAATTGATTTGGTGACATGTGTTTCGCGCGGGTTATCGCTAAAAATTAAAAAACGGTTCAGACGATTGTGTAAGGAACAAACATTTTGAGACAAAGTCCCAACAATGGGTGCTTTATTGACGAAGAATACAATTGAAAATAAACAGAATGCCTCCAAGGGGCGCAGCACACGAGTACTAAAAAGAGATGTTTTAAAGTTAAAATAAAAAATTGAAATTACATATTCTCTATTGAGAGTGTTTGATTCGGGTCATTTCCTTCTATGTCTTCTTTTCTTTTTTATACTTCCTTGACAGTTTCTCTGTGAAAAACTGCTGGGAAACTGCTTGGTACTCTATAACTATCCACTTTTTTCATGATGGCTGACTTGTCATGAAACCGCTGTCTCTAACTGTTGTCATCACTTTTGTTATTTAACTGCCTACAACCGGGATTCTTGGATCGTGCGGTGTGATAAGGTTACCCAATAACCGCTTTAATAACTGCTGCACTGAATAACCGTTATACCTTACATTCGCTCGTTCCTGGGTGACTCGAAGGTTTAGGCGAGAGTAGGATCATCGCTCTGGACGACCGTAAGGCATTCCATTCGCTCAGATCCTGAGCGTTTTGCAAACTTAGGCGATGATGTTACTTTGTTCGTGGGCCTCTACTGCATTCATCAATGGTCATATTTGGCCCTTCATCCTGGATTTCTTAATTGGGTTTCATTCCTTGGACTATTCAATTTGGGCTACACTTTTTGTATGCCAACAATGATTTTTATTTTTATTTTACATGTACACGGTTGAATCATAGCACATCTTTTCGTCGCTAGTTTTACCCAACTTCTCGTAAATCATAACCCATTCCTAATACAATCGTTAGAGTTATATAAATTTGACTCAATTAGCATTTTTATTATAATAATATTTGAGACTAAAATTATTTGGGCAGAATCAAATTGAATCAAATCCACTTTGCGGCAGAAACTATTTGCAATATTATAATTATTTGATTCAATTTGGGCAGTCAAGAGCACTACTGTTGTTATATGAATTTTCCACTATTTGCTCTAATTCTTTTACGTAAATTATTAAATATTCTTTGCTTTTTAGCATTAGATGTATTAATTCATGCTTTAATTCATGTACTCTTTGCTCTAATTTTTTTTATGGTGGTAAAATATACGTTTATGATGATTATTAAATACTCTTTGTGTCTTTAATATGATTAAATATTTTTTAATGTTATTATATAAATTTTAAATTAATAATTTATCATGT